TTTTTTTTTTAATTTCAAGACCCTAAGCTAATTTTATTCGTTTTTATGAGAAATATTATTGCCTGTTTTATAGATTTTTTAAAGGTCATTTAGAGGTCGCGATCTGTCGATTTGTGTCAGAAATAGGATTTTGTAGGTGTATGAGTTTTTGAATGACTCTTTTTGACTCGATTTCAAATATCGAATATGATCTCAGAAGAGGATATTTAGGCCTTAAAAATGGTATATAATAATTTATTGTCGGACTAGGCTCGTGGAGATTTTTTTATCGGGTTAATTAAGAAATATGAATTTCTCTTAATTTTTTAAATTTTGACCATCTATAATATCTACAATTTCAAAATATGGAGTACTATCTAAAATTTAATCTATTTTTAAATAAACTGACCTCATTTATTGCAATCGCATAAAAATACGGCTTTTCTTAAATACGGCCTTGTATTTACATGTGTGTATGTACCGGAATTTCAGATTTTTGAGCAGTGTGGCTAAGGAGTTCATCAATATTTATTCAAAATTGATATATACAACAGCGTTGCCGTTTTCAATTTGTTTAATTACCCAGAAAAAAAATCCAAGTTACCCACAAATGCCCACACAAATTTTCGAGTTCCCCGCGAATTCCCCACAACAGAAATAAATATTATGAAGTTTAGTTTCCTTCACAAAGCTTTATATTATCCTTTAAAATATATAATATATTTTAGTTATTACAATTCTCTGCATATTTTGTTTATTAAGCGTTAAATAAAATATTAAATACACAATCTAATACAAACAAGTTAGAGCAGCGCTGTCTTCGACTATGCCGAAGGCTTCATACCTTTCATGAACATCTGAAAATTTTACTTTAACAGATTACTGCATTTAAAAAAAAATTTAGATATTCACAGCATACATAGATAGAGGAGATACATATATAAAAAATCATATCTAACCAATCAGAGGTATGGAAGATATACCTTATATAGCACCAATCTAAATGATTTTCACTACACTGTGGGAAAAAAATATTAAAATCAAATAGAAACGTAATTGATCTTACTATAAACGTCAACGAAAGTACTGTATATTGGTAAATATTCAATTCAATTACGCGCATATTAAAATGACCGCGTTCGTACTGAAAAAGCATCCGTGAAGTGAATAATCAAGAGAAAAACTAAAAAAAAATTTAATTTGCATGTTGCCTGCAGTGGAATTCGAACCCGACCATCTCCGGATATCAACCACTTGTGGCAAGCATCTTTGCGCACTCAGCTACACCCAGGCATATAAATTTGCTTTCAAATGTTGAATATCCATCAACACCACAGCACGCGATTTGTGCTATGTGTGTGATGTCGCCGCTCTCAGAGCGGCGCTCTGCAAGCTTGGGGTGCATATGTACACTTACATATACATACTCAGATTTGAACAGTCAAATACGTGCGTAATAGATTTTGAATGAAAATATTATTTTTAAATACGAACATTTTTAAACGATAGTCAAATATAAAGTATTCATTTTTACTATGCATTATTTCCCTCAGTGTACTGTGTGATCGGTATGTAAACCGGTAGCACAATTTAATGGGTTTAGCGCAAAAACTGGTATCTGAACAATCAGTGGTATAAAATATAAAGCTTATACAGCATAGATTTTGACGATTTTCTCAGTAGACTTTGTATTATTATTTATAAAATAGCTTACGAAATTTATCGGTTTTATTAGTAAAACACATATGTGAACAATCAGTTATATGGAGCAGGGTTGTTGCGAATACTCGCATTTGCATTCGCAACCGCGGAGCTTCCGCATTGATTTCAACATTCGCATTCGCTTTCGCATTCGCAGTAATCAATGCGGGGCTTTTGCAAATGCGAATGTTGTGCAAGTGCACCGATAAAACGTATATATGGCAAACAAAATGACAAATTGTAGCCAATATTTTGCCTGTGTTCGTGGGAGTATTTGTGTAACAAAAGTGGTCAAATGTCACATTTATCAACTTTGATAAAAATGTCTTCGAACATATTATTTCTTAAGCTATATAACCGAGCTATCAATGGGCAGCCATACAAGTTCCAGCTTCTACTTAACCTTTGACGTACGTGAAAGAGAACATAGTCTTTTTAACAATGTTTTTTACAACGCTTTTATCAACTTGCAATGTTGTGTTCCAGAAACTTTCAATGTTGTGTTCCAGAAGCTTTCAATGTTGTGTGTCCGACACCATAAAGCAAAGCTTTGAAAAGCTCCTATAAAAAAGCATAGTGAATAGGGCGAGGTAGATGACATCTAGATGTCGCCCTATGTACTACGTTTGCTACACCGGAAATAGACGACAC